CCCCAGCTGCACACTCCTTAGGCCCCACCCGGGGGCGATCCCGGGCTGAGATTGGGGCGGGCGAGGAAGGGGGCTGGAACCCGGAGCTGGGGGCACCTGGTCCTGTGGCTTGGGGCTTCCGGGCCAAGCCCTGAGCGTCTGTAGGTTTCTGGGCGATCAGCAGCGGCCCCCTCCTCGCGTGGCCATGGTGCCCCGCACCCAGGGTCAGCAAGGCTGTCCCCGCCTGTTGGATCGGAGTGTCTCGAGATCCTGGGGTGCTGGACTGTGGTCCCCCAGGCCACCAGCTTTGTTTTCCTTTGTGGAGAGGAAGGGTGGGGTTATTTATCAGCTGGGATTCTCCCCTTCCCTCCCTGTGAGAAACCTTTTCTGCAGGCGACCGTGGGACGTAGGCCCTCGCTCCTCCTAATGTCAGGTTCAGAGTGAGGCCAGCCCCCTGCCCAACTTTGCCTCGAGTTTTCTTACCTATTTGCTGTTGGCGTAGCTCCCCCCAGGGAGAAGGATTTGGGGAGAGAAGGGGAAAGTGAGTTGCTTCCAGCGAATGCCCGTGTTTTGGGCTCCTTGGTCTTAGGGTCTAAACTGTGCCTTCGGTTTTTATTTTCGTGGTCCAGTGACAAAGGTCCTGGCTCTGGGGAAGGGGGGAGGTGTCGGGTAGTAAAAACCCTGTCCCTGTGTGTGCCGCACTGGTTGGTAGTTGTCTAATTTTTCCTAACCAGCTAAAACTCCTGAGTCTTCATGTTTGCCTCCTCCCCCCCTTTGTTTATCTCCCCTCACCCCTACCCCACCCCACTGGGAGACGCAGCCTAAAACTGTGGCCCCCATTCCCAGAGGAAGCCCGTGTGCTGTTCTCTTCTGGGGGGTCTTCAGGGGAGGTAGTGCTGGGACAGACTGTACCATCCTGGGGACCTGGGCCGCCCAGTGCTGGGAGACCCTGCCGGTCTGGGTGGCACTCATAGGGCGGTGTGGGGTCCTGCGGGCCAAAGCTCTCGCACCTCTCTCCTCTGCAGATGCCCAGTGCGGGGAAGGGACCGGGGGTCATGTGCATATATTTACGTAAGACCCAGACAGAGGGCACGGGTATTTATGTAACCCTGTGTGGGTATTTATATAATATCGGATGCGCGGATATTTGTGTTCCTTTTCCTAACCTGCTGCTTTCCCCACTCCCTCCTGTCTGTGGTCTCTGGATTGGCGTTGGTGGGAAATGTGTATGGAAGGGATGGGGGTCCTCCCCCACCCCACCCACCCCACCCCCAGCCAGGGCTGGCTGTGCCGCCTTGGTGCTTGCTCCCTTGGCGGGGACACACTTGGGAACCTGGGTGCCATGCCGACCTGGGGCATGGGGCGTGTGGGCTTCCTGCAGATGTGCAGCGCATGTTGCTGGCAGCTGCCGCTCCTCAGCTGGGCCAGGTCAGGCATGTGGGCAAAGGCCCAGAGTTTGGTTGGCACGGGCTGGCAGCTACTTCCTTGTGGCTGTTGGAAGGCTGTGGCTGTACCCGGGAGCTGGGGTGTCCGTCCTGGCCAGGAGCTGTTGGCTCCGTGTCTGTCTCAGCAGGGAGGTCTCACCTGACCATCAAGGGAGTAAATCTGTCCCAGCTCCTGTCCCAGGTGGCCTGGCTGCTTGGGGTGACCCTTGGCATGGGAAGGACAGTTGATTGATGCCCACATGGCTGCTTTCCCAACTTCCTGTTTTGCCTCCCAGGCCTGGCATAGAACAAGCTGCCTGCTTGTATACAAGTCTATCAGGTAGGGCAGTGAGACCCCTTTTGTGTCCTAGGTGAGTCTGCATTGATTTGCTACTGGCTCATGTGGGCACAATGGCATGACCTCTCTGGGCCTGAGTCCCTTCTGGTCACCCCACTGCTCTCTGGTAAACACAGGGAGCTCTCAGGGGCCCCTCCTCTGTCCCTGTTCCATTTCTGCCAATCCCTGTCCCCCCAACAGGCAAAACCCCCTCCCCAGGATTTTGAGTTTCTTCATTTGTTTTCCAGGAACACAGCAGCCCAGACCTCTGCCCTGGGCCAGCACAGAGGGTCCCTCACAGGGGGCCTGGGCTCCATTGTCTGTGGGCTTGAGGCACTCAGCTGCTCAAATCAGGACCCCTCCTGCCCCACCAACAACCTAAACCCCAGCTTGGGTTAGACCCATGCTAGTCAGAAGGAAGCCAGCTGGAACGGTCCCTCCAAAGGGGTCCCGGGAGAAAGGCCTAGGTGGTTCGCCAGCATCGTGAGGGAGACGGATTCCTGCGCTCTTGCTGAGTGGGATCAGACCTCTCTTTTAGGGTATACTTGAACCTATGAGGCAGGGCCCAGGCAGACCCGGCAAAGTGTGGAGGCCCAACCTCCAGTGCTGGGGGTGGGGATGGAGGTGCAGGGACTCTGTCATTTCAGAGGCCTGGAAAGGCACTAAAGGGCTCCTTTGGGACCCCTCCTGTCAGCTTGTCCTCCCGTCCCTGAAGGTTGGGTCTTGCTGGTGATGTCCATGGCAGTACCTCCAGGTGTCGGCTCCTGTGTGTGTCCCCTCCCCACTACCCTCTTTGTCCTTGATTTTCCTTCAGAGTCTTGGCCCATTGTGACCAATCTCCCCCTTGAGAAGGCTACTAGAGGGTTCACGAAAATGTCTCCCAAAGGGGTGCTCCTCTTGGCTGTTGTTGCTCTCTGGCCTTACCTCCCACTCCACCCACTTGCCAGGCCAGGCTGACTGCTCTGAGTCTCCTCAACTGTTCTTCAGCTGTGTGGGAGGGTGGCTACAGGCTACCTGGCACCTGGTTGCCCTCAAGCAAAGGGAGGCCAGATTGCTTCATGGATGGTGGGATGGAGGATGCTGGGCCTTTCAGGTCCCTGGGGGCTTTGCCTGGCTTTTGTGGGGAAGGGGTGGGTCCATCCTGAGCACTGGGGCCCTCTCAGCTCCGGGTTCTCTGACCCCACTTTCTGCTTCCCTTCCCTCTACAGCAAGAGTGAACCATGGAGCTGCGTGTGGGGAATAAGTACCGCCTGGGTCGCAAGATTGGGAGCGGGTCCTTTGGGGACATCTACTTAGGTAAGTGTCCTTAGGGTGTCAGAGTCTGGGGCCAGAACTTTGCTCCAGTGGTGGGCAGTGCCTCTAGGGCCACCTCATCTGGGGAGGGAAGCCTTTGGTGGAGGGGAGGCAACCAGGGGGGCTTCTGGATGTACAGAGGAGGGTGGTTTGTTTTGGTTTGGCTTTTTTAGACAGGGTTTCACTTTCTGGTTCAGGCTGGCCTTGGAACTCACTATGTAGCCCTGGCTGGCTTGGAATTCCTCCTGTCTCAGCCTCCTGGAGTGCTGAGATTGCAGGCTTGTGCCACCACACCCAACTAAGGAGCATATTTTAGCTCTGATTCCCAACTGTGGCTGACCTGGGTCTGCAGCTAGGCGTGGGAAAGCCCTTGCTGGGTTGTATCCCTGTTTTTTGTGTCCTGGGAGAAGGATGCTGGTGACAGAGAGGAGGCCTGGGCCTCTGCATGACCCCCAGCAAGGCCCCTCACACTGTGATCTGGCCTCCTGGAATGCAGCCCAGTCTGGCTTTGGAATGACACGGGAGGGGTCTCCTAGGGATCCTCTCTCTCTTTCTCTGGATGTTTCCTGGTGGAAGTCTGAGTTTGTCCGATGGTGTCCTTTCAAACAACTCCCTGACTTCTCAGTCCTCTCCTGGCCTGAGCCCACGGGGCGGGGGTGGGGGGGCACAGCATGAGTAGGGCCCTCCCTTTTGTTGGTCTGGAGGGAGATATCTGGGTAATGATTGCAGTTGGAGGGGCTTAGAGCTGTAGAGCAGGCAGCAAGGCCTCAGGGTGGGGTCTCTCCTCTTCCTGTCGCCTTGCCCTCTGAGAACAGGCCTGGACCACCTCTGCATCTCCGTTTCCCTCCTTGGACATTGAAAATAAATAGATTTTGGCCTGGGCAAAGGCCACGGAGTCCATACGCGGTGTGCCGTGTGCCTCCATTCAGACCCCAGGCTCCCCTTCCCCAGTGGTCAGGGTCTCTGCCCCCTGACACTGCTGTTCAGGGAGCCTCAGGGTCGGGGAGCTTGGGGTGCTGTGGGGTCAAGGTGACCCCCAAGGTCACTCCAGAAAACCAGCAAAGGCGCCTTTCACACCCACAGCCTCTGCTCAAGACAACTGGGAGATGTGGATAGGCCTAGGTCCTGCCCTCGCTTTGCGCAGCCGATCCGGGACCTCGGTCCTCTCTGTAGCGCGCACGCTGATGCTGTCTGACTGACCGAGTGCTCAGGAGGCCCTGGTAAAATGGCGCCGGAAGTGCCAGCTGAGGTGCAGTCCCCTGCTGGGCACACCACAGTTCACACGCTCCGGTAAACAGCCTCCCGAGTTCACAGTGGAGGGAGCGGCAGTTGGAGCTGGTTGGAAAGCTTTGTCCAGCAGAGCACCGCACGTGTCCATGGTCCCAGCTACTTGGGAGGCTGGGCCGGGAGGATCACTTGAGCCCAAGAGTTGGAGACCAGCCCGGCAACACAGCAAGACTTCCTCCCTGGATTAAGTTAAATGAAGATCTGTGTTCACTCTCCCTCCCTGGTGTCCAGTGTGCGGCCTGGCCACAGACGTGTCTGGGAAAGCCGGTCAAATGAATGAGGGAGAAATGGGTACTGTAGTATACAGAAGCACTACTTGCCACTTGCAGAGGATAGGAAAAGGTTAGGGTTTTGGGACTGAGCCCGGTTCGGGTCCCCTCCAGTGTTTTTCTCATTTGCTGTGTGACCCGGGATAAGTCACTTTCTCCCTCAGCCTCAGTATTCTTGTCAATGCCACAGGGGCCCCCAACTTCGGTTGGTGAAACTCGGGTGAGTGTAAAGACCCCTCTTAACTGCTGAGGCTCCTGGGCCAGTCCAGGCCCACTTGCAGCTGAAGGGGCCCAGAAGCCCATAGCAGCTGAAGGGCAGCCCAGAGTCACCCAGAGAAGCCAGCATCCCTCGTTCATGCAGGGCACCTCCCTGGGGGCAGAAGTTCCTGTTTAGCCTCAGAGGCCTCTCGTTTATCTTAAAAACTAGGTCTAGGTATACTCCTTTTTGTATTGGCTTTGGGGTCATTTGAGATTGGATTTGGATGCTGATTTCTTCCTCTTATTTATTTACTTACTAATTTTTTGAATCAGTTTTGCTGTGTAGTTCAGGCTGGCCTTGAATTCACTGTGTAGCCCAAGCTGACCTCAAAGTCCAGGCAGTCGTTTGTCTTGTCTCAGCACCCTGTGTGCTGGGATTACAGGCGTGTGCCACCTCACTGGGCGCTGGCCTTCTTTTTACCAGCTGTGTGCTCTTGGGTAAGCCGTGAGCTCTGGCAGCGTTGGCCTCCCTGTCTAGGATGGAGTTGCGCAGGGCGAAGACAGCCCAGTATATAAAACACTGGAACCTGCCAAGCCTAGCAGTGTTGCGTTCCTGCTGTGCCCCTACCCTCAGGATATGTAGGGAGTTGCTGCTTTCAAAGGCTCTGGGGCCTCTTGGGCCTGGGAGGGAGCACGGTTCTCCCCGTGTCTGGATTTGACAGAGTGTGAGGGTATTGGGGCCTGTCCTGACATAGGCTCCCGTCAGTGCCATCCTGGGCCCCTGTCCCGCTGGGGCAGAGACAGTAGCGACCAGAGGCCTCCCCTTTTCAGTGGCTCCCTTTTTCAGAGCTCTGGCCACATCCTCAGGTGTCTGGGCCAGGGCCTGACTCCAGATGGCCTCTTCAGGTGGGGCCAGGCTTGGCGTCCAAGCCCTGCTTTCCAGGATCAGCTGTGGGATGCACGTGTGGCTGCCAGCCAGCAGCTCCTCTCCAGGTCCCCAGCCTGCATCATGAGGGGACAGTCGGGAGGACGCAGGGCCTCAAGTGGCTGTACCCGGTCTAGGGGCAGCTGGGCCTGGGCCCGCTTGCTGGTTCTGCATCCTGGGGACTCTAGACCTCTTTAAGATTTCTGGTCCTCAACTCCGGAAGGAGTGTGAAGCGGTGTTCCCCAGGCAGGTGATTCTGCGGGGAGTCGGCAGGGGGCACGCTCCAGGGTTCTGATGGAGGTGGCAGAGTTGCTGCTGCTGTTCCTGCTGGTGTAGAGGCTGACACCCCCACCCCGCAGTCTCCTAGTCCCCAGGTGTGTCTGTGAATATCTGCAGTGAGTCCCTGTGGGAGGCCTGGTACCCCATTCCCCACCTATAGCTTCCCAGGGTTCTGGCCACACTAGGGTGAGCCAGGCCTGGGCCCCTCTCTGCTTAGGTTTTTGTTTTGAGGTGCCTGAAATGGAGCCATTTCTTCTGGCTTCCAAGCCTTCAGCACGAGGCCTCCCTGCGGCAGGACCAACCCACTCCTCTCCTGACACAGCACCAGCCCGAGGTTGTGGTGGCCGCCTGCCTCCAGGGCTCCTCTGCCCTGATCCCGTCTGCATCCCTGCCCTAGCTGGTCCAACTCCACCGCCTGCCAGTTGCATGACTGCCGTGCTAGAGACCTGGAAGGGAGAAAAACGCAGGGCCTCGGGGGCTACATTTCCAGTCCTGGCCAGCTGCCAAACCTCTCTGAACCTTGGCTTGGTGACTGAGAGAATTGTAGGAATCAGAAAAGAGGGAATGAAAAACTAATGGGAATGAAAAACTGGGGGTCCCGGCAGTGGGGGAAGCAGCTGAGACAGAAGGTTTCTAGCACTCTGGGGTCAGAAGACTTTGCCTGATAGCTTGAGTCCCTGTCTCTGGGAAGTTGTGTGGCAAAGGAGCGTTTGGTCTGTGGTGCCTCGGTTTCTCCATGTGTCAAAGAACAGTGCAGAGTCGTCCTGGCAGGATAGTGTCAGGGCTCCAGGTTTGAAGGACTCCACCTGCCTCTGCCTCCCTGCCGAGTCCCAGTGCTGGAGGCCCTTGGTCTCTGCTCCCTGCCCTTTCAAGTCCCTTCCATCTCTTTCTAATAGATCAGTGAACCTCAGTGTGTGTTGGGGGGAGGGTTGTCCCCCAGGGGATTTGCTCAGCTTTTTCTTTTTTCTTTTTGGTACCGGGGATTGAACTCAGGCCATTGCTCTTGGGAGGCAGGCGGCGGAACTGCTGAGCCAAATCCCCAGCATCCCCCAGGGGATTTGGCAAGATCTGGAGATTATTATAACTTTGGTTATTATAACTCAGGGGCGACAGGAAGGGATAGCTGTTGGCACATTATGGGTGGAGATGAGGGGTCTGCCGCATCCTCCACAATGCCCAGGATAGCTGCACAACAAGATTCTCTGGTCCCGAATGTCAGTGCTGTTGATTTTGAGGCCCCTGTGATCACACACCGGTCCCTGGCCCCACCATCCAGCCTAGAGACCCTTCAGATCTTGCCCTGTCCACTTCTCCAGCTACACCAAACCACTCAGAGTTGGCAACACCCTATTCTTCCAGGCCTTTGCACGTGCCGTGGTTTAGGGCCACATGATCCTGTTTCTGGGCCAGGAGCCTAGAGAGAGGCCCCTTTTCCCCCTGGGGTCGCTTATTCCTGCTTCATTTGTCTCTGCACCGGCAGCTGCTTCCCCTTTCCTGCACTGTCCCTCCCTTCCTCCCATCCATTTGTCTCTGGAGCCCAGGCGGGTCCCTTCTCCACAGCCCTCCCACTGTGGGGCAGGTACTTCCTGCTAAGCACTCTGCTTAGGCCACCTATACTATCTTTTAAAGCTTTTATTAGTATTTGTTTGTACTATATAATTGCTCATTAGATTTAGTCTTCTATTTATCTTTCCCTTTTACGTGGCTGGAAAATTAAAATATGTAGACAAAACCAAAAATGAAAACAAAAAATGTTATGTGAAAAAAGCAGGTTACAAAAGACCACGTAATATACAGAGTCTGGGTTTTTTGTTTTGGGGTTTTGGTTTTGTTTTTGTGTTTGGTACTGGGGATTGAACTCAGGACCTTGCGCTTGCCCAGCAAGCGCAGCAACACTGAGCTACATCCCTGGCCGGCATAGTTGTATTTCTGTAAGATGTCCAGAATAGGTGGGTCCATGGGTGGGAAGGACAGTGGTGGCTGCCATGGGTGTGGGTGTTGGGGGGTTGAAAACATTTGAAAATCAGTTGTGTGATGATGGTCACCGCACCCTGTAATGCATCGAGTGAGTTGTGCGCTAGAAGTGAGTGAACGCCATAGTACATAAATTTCTTCTCCATAAAATAGTGGCGACTCAAAGCGAGGTGTCCCCAGCCTCGCCGAGGCTTGGCTGGTCCACCAAAGGTTCTTTGCGTAGACGCAGCTGAACACGACTTACTTCTCCGCCTCGTTGTGAAACTAAGGAGAGCCCACAAAACATGTTCGTGCTTCTGTTTCGCTTCCTGCATCTGGAGCTCTTCCACTTCTGCCCAGAGAGTGTGTCCTTGTTCTTTCCCCTGTGTTCTGTTTCCTGGATGGGCTGTTCTTCCTTTAACCAGTCCCCGGATGATGGACATTTGGGTCCTTTCCAGGCTGTGGCTGCTATAAACAGTGGACAGTGCACGGCCTTGTCTGGGCCTCGTTTTGCACCATGCAAGGACAGCAGCGTGAGCCCCAGCTGTGGCGTTGCTGGTCAGAGCCAGGTGGTGGCAGTGACCCTCCTGTGGGGACTGCTGGTCACCTTCCAAGCCAGCCAGGTGCCAGCCGCCGCCGCTGTCTCATTGTGGGGTTTTGGGCCATCCTAGCTGACAAATGGTCTTCTGGGATCATTTTAATTTGCATTCCTCTTATGAGGAGGTATCGTATGCGTTCCTCTGAGTGAGCTGTTCACAATAATGACCTCTCTCTGCCTCGGGTTAGCATTGTTCACATCCTTTGCCCTGCTTGCTATCGTCTTCTTCCTCCTGGTTGGGGCGCTTGTTATCTGTTAGCCCTGTGCCTGTCACCAGAATCATGAGCGTGGCTGCTTTGCGGTGTTTTGCCACGCAGGAGGGGCCAGGTACAGGTATGTGGTCACAGAAGTGGGGGTTTTTTCTTTTTTTCTGGTACCGGGGATTGAACTCAGGTCCTTGCGCTTGCAAGGCAGGCCACTGAACCGCTGAGCTAAATCCCCAGCCCGTGGGGGTTTTTCATTGTTGTCTTTAAATGGTTTCTGGATATTGAAGGATGAAAAGCCTTCCCCTAAGGTTGCATGGGACCCTTCCCTGGGGACCACTCGGCTGAAAGAGGATATATGCTTGTCGCCTTCAAGGCCCTGTCTTCTGCGTTCTCGAGGAGGTAACTACCAACTGACACCACCCCCCCTTTTTGAGATAGGGTCTTGCTGTATATTCCAGGCTAGGCTTGAACTCACTGTGTAGCCTGGGCTGGTGTCAGACTCACAGTGATTCTCCTGGCTCAGCCTCCTGAGTGCTGGGATTACAGGTGTATGCCACCACACCTGGCCCAGGTGACATCTTAAATTTTTCCCCTTTTTGTTTGTTTTGTTTTAGGTTTTTGAGAAAGGATCTGGCTACATAGTCCAAGCTGGCCTCCAACTCTCTGTAGTCTTCTTACCTCACCCCTCCTGCACCCAGGGCTAGGATTACAGGCCTGCACCACCACTAAATTGTTCCTTTGGTTGAAAGATTTATCACATTTATACCCTAAACTATGGTGTTGGTATTGCGTGCTTTGATGTGAGGTCAAACCTGTCAACTTCTTCCTCTCCCTTTTAAAAAAATGAGTGACATTCTCGTAACAAAATGAAGCATTTGAAAAGTGTGCAGTTTAGTGGCTTTTACTGCAGTGTTGTACAACCATCGCTCCCATCTGGTTCCAAAAGATGTTTCAGCACCCCAGAAGCACGCTTCCACCCAATAAGCAGCCACACTCCCCACTTCCCTGCCCCCAGCCCCTAACGACCACTCGTGAACTTTCTGTCTCAGTGGAGTTGCCTATGCGGAACATTTGCTGTACTATTTGCCCTGTCGTGACTGGCTTCTTTCACTGAACAGAACGTTTCTAGAGGTCATCCATGTTGTAGTATCAGCCCTTCATTCCTTTTACTGGCTGAATAATATTCCACCCTCTGGATGGGCCACAGTCTGTTCATTCATCTGGTACCTGCTTGGGTTGCTTCTGAGGAGCACTGCTGCCCAGAGTTGGGGAGCTGGGAGTAGCCCAATTGCTGTGAAGCTGTCATCTGTCTCCGGGGACCCTTGTGTGACCACATCACTGTTGGACACTCCGCTGCTGCAGCGCCTCTGGGGTGTGGGTTCCTTGTGCATCTGTTGTGACTGTGTCTGGATGCTCCCGCTGCCCCCAAATCCTCGTGCAGTCTTTTTCAAAGGAGGCTGAATCTGGAAATTGTGATGTTGGGTTAAAGGCATGTGAGTATGCAACACTGCATGAGTGTTTGGTTTGGTACTGCCCTGATCTGGTAGTCTGAATGGGATAAAAGGGGCAGAAAGATGCTGTTAAGCTCTCTTGTTGCTTTGCTACCAACTGTTTCTCCTCTGCCGTGTGCCGCCCTGCCTTGGAGCCAGCTAATTCTGTACTGAAACCTCTACAAACCGTGAGCTAAATAAAACTTTCCCCCTTTAACCTTGGATGTCAGGTATTTTGTCTCAGCATCCTTGACCTTTCTCCTGGTGGACACTCATCCCTGAGGCCTGTGCCTGGGTGCGGAGTTGCCTGGTGAAGGATTTGTGACTTTTACCAGATGCGAGAAAGAGGCTGTGACCAGTGGCAGTTTGCTTTCCTTCCTTGTGAACTTTTCCAGCTCCACAGGGCATTCCTCTGGTTGTGGTGTGAGCCCCTTGTGCCAAGGACACTCTGGCTGGTCTCATCCTTGACTGGAGGGGCCGACTTTGTCTTCCCCGGGTTCTTCCGGTGCTGTGTCTGTGGCTGTTCTGTTTGGTCGCCTGTGTGATGCTGTCCTGGTTCACGCCTGGTGCTGGGAGGGAAACCTGAGTGTAACCCCTTGGCCTCTAGGTCGGCTCACCCTTGGAACTGGGGAGACTGAGGCACTGCGCCCCGCCCCGCCCTTTTGGTAGTTGCTCTTTTTTGTGACCTTTGTTGTTGTTGATATGGGGGATCGAACTCTGTTCCTTGTGCTTGCGAGGCAGGTGCCAGAGCCACTGAGCTACATTCCTGGCCCTCTTGTGACTTCTTGAGCCATGCAGTGGGTCCAGGCTGAGCTGGGCCTTGGGGTGCATGAGGGTGTTTTCTTAGGCAGTGCCCCTCGAGGTGGCAGTGAGAGCCCAAGAAGAGGAGGAGAGAGGTAGAGGTGCATATGGGGCCCTCACACCCAGACCTGGAAGCCAGCTGAGCCAGGGTTACTCTCTAGCCCACCTTTACTAGCTGACCCCAACTGGGTCTGTTTCTTGCCTGTACAGCACCCTGGGGCAGATGCTGGGGTGGCCTCTGAAGATGTCTGTGTTCCCGTGGGCAGGGTGGGGCTAGCCCTGGGCTTTCCCTCCAGAGCTTCCTGGAGCTCAGGCTGGTCAGGGCAGGCTCCCAGGGCCTTTTCTCCTGCACATCTCCTTCAGTCCGATGCACCCTTGTGCTTTCCCTCTCCAGGATTCAGTTCTGTCCCCTGTATGGTCTCTGAGCCTTTGTGTCGTGTCCCGTCTCCCCCCACCCCCTACCCCCAGGCATCAGGTTCTCTTGCTGTATCTGAATGGGGTTCACTGGGTAGTCCAGGGCATCTCCCATCTTCCCTGGACACCTGCTGCCATTCCCTCCCCACTGGAAGCATTTGCTGAGCTCCCCCTGCCATCCCTCTGTGTCCCACAGCACCCCCTCCTGCCATTCCATCATCTCCCAGAGGTCCTGAGCACCCGGGGGTAGCTATCAGGTTGACCCCAGCCCTGGGGAACAGCAGTCTGGGCCCCACCCAACGAGCAGAGTGACTGGTGCTTTGCTTCCTCTGCCCTGGCAGGTGCCAACATCGCCTCTGGTGAAGAAGTGGCCATCAAGCTGGAGTGTGTGAAGACGAAGCACCCGCAGCTGCACATCGAGAGCAAGTTCTACAAGATGATGCAGGGGGGAGGTGAGGCAAGGAGGGGTGGAGCTGTGAGTATGCAGTGCTGGGGGGTGGGGAGAGGTGACAGGAGGGTGTGCAAGGGACAGGGCTGTGCCCATGCAGGTGATGGGGTTGGAGGAGACAGGCCCTGACAGACCCTCTTTCCCGGCCCCAGTGGGGATCCCGTCCATCAAGTGGTGCGGGGCTGAGGGCGACTACAACGTGATGGTCATGGAACTTCTGGGGCCCAGCCTGGAGGACCTCTTCAACTTCTGCTCACGAAAGTTCAGCCTCAAGACGGTGTTGCTCCTGGCCGACCAGATGGTGAGTCCCCCACCTCCCCATCTGGCTAGGTGCTCTGACCTGCTGGGCAGGCCACTTCCCTCTCGGCCTCTGCTTCCCCAGTGTGCCAGTGGGCACAGCTCTGCATCTTGCCTTAGGGGTGCTGGAGGAGGAGGCAGAGACAAGGACATAGCAGTTCTTGGGGTATTTGTTTACAATGCAGATTCCAGGCCTGACTCCAGCCTGCTGAGTCAGGCTCCTGAGATGGGGCCTGGGACTGTCTTCCTCTGATTTTAAAGATGCTGAGGGCTGGGTCCTGCCCTCTGTGGGGGACAGAGATGAATTACTAAACCTCCCTGAGGTGCAGTCACCTGGGGTGAGTCCCCCCTTTGCCCATTGTGGGCCTTACGAGGGATGCTAGGCAGTGCCTAGGCCAGAGCAGGTGTTAGGGCAACTGTGAAGAAAGTGTTTTGAAAAAAAATATAAAACTAGGGCTAGGGTGGTAGCTCAGAGGTGGAGTACTCCGTTTAGAGTATTTGAGGCCCTGGGTTTGATCCCCGGCACTCCCAAATAAGAAAAAGTGCCTGTGTGTGTGTGTGTGTGTGTGTGTGTGTGTGTGTAAATAAAATGATACGTTTACATATAAAGTGATACAGTTTTGCTGAGTTGTCTCACACGCTGCATTCTCATTTCTGGGTCTGCCATTAACGTCTCTTCTTCATCTCTTAGCCTGTCTCACAACGTATTTTGTAAACCTCTCCTTCAAAGCAAATCCTGTCATTACCCACTCCAGGAAGCTTTCCCTGCCCTGCCCCTTGGAATCCTCCTCCACAGCTGAGGACAGATCTCCGTCTCTGGGCCATCGTCCATCTCTGCCCAGGTCACTGTGGTGAAGGCCCTCCGCTGAGCCCTCCCTCAGCGTCTTGCTGTCCCCCATCCCCAGATCAGCCGCATTGAGTACATCCACTCCAAGAACTTCATCCACCGGGACGTCAAGCCCGACAACTTCCTCATGGGCCTGGGAAAGAAAGGTAACCTGGTGTACATCATTGACTTCGGCCTGGCCAAGAAGTACCGGGACGCTCGTACCCACCAGCACATCCCCTACCGGGAAAACAAGAACCTGACCGGCACTGCCCGCTACGCCTCCATCAACACCCACCTGGGCATCGGTGAGTGTGCGCTTGGGCTGCTGGCCGGACCCGCCCCCAGCTTGGCTGGAGACTCCTGGGGACTTGGTTTTTGGTTTTCGTTTTATTTATTCTGGCTTTTTTGGAGACAGGGTCTTACTGTGTAGTTCAGGGTGGCAATGAACTCACTATGTGGCCCAGGCTGGCTTTGAACTCAGAGAGATCCTTTTGCCTCTGCCCCCCAAGTGCTGGGATTTCAGGCGTGTCCACCATGTTGGGATCTTGGGGACTTTGTTGGGGGGGCTCCTTGAGACAGTCCGCATCTCCCCCTCCGTTGAGCTGCAGATGCCACCCCCTTCATGGGCTCTGTGGAGTGAGAGTTCCCTTTTGTACCATTAGGAAGCGCAGGCCCAGAGGTTTAAAACAGGGAGCTTAAGAATATGAACGCTAGGGCAGGAACGGGATTTGACCCCTAGTCCATCTCATGCCACGGCTTGTGTCCTTGCAGTGCGGTGGGCCAGGTGAGGGGGCAGCGGTGCCCACTCATAGTTGATCAGTGACGTAGCGGCTGGGCTGGAGGAACTGGGCCAAGACAGAGCTGAGAAGTTCTGCCTCAGGCCTCTGTGGGAGGAGGAGAGTAGGGTAGAGCAGCCCCTTGGCTCTCAGGACCCTGCCGCTCACCTCCCCTCTGCCTCTGCAGAGCAAAGCCGTCGAGACGACCTGGAGAGCCTGGGCTACGTGCTCATGTACTTCAACCTGGGCTCCCTGCCCTGGCAGGGCCTCAAAGCAGCCACCAAGCGCCAGAAGTATGAGCGGATCAGTGAGAAGAAGATGTCCACGCCCATTGAGGTCCTCTGCAAAGGCTACCCCTGTGAGTAGCGGGCCCTCGGGGAGGGCTCCTGTGTCTGAGGGCAAGTCAGGGCCACCTGAGCCCAGGGAGCACTACTCACGGGTGCTCTGCTGCTGTATAGCCCGGGCCTGGCTGGCACGCACATGTCCCAGCCCACACTCGACTCCCAAGCGCCCTCTCCCAGCCCGAGTAGGTGGATGCAGAAGGGAAGTTTTCTTCTGGTTGCTGGGGTCGTGTAGGGGTCACGTTCACTGCTGGGCTCTTGAGCCCCTGTTGATCCAGTCTCCAAGACCCCAGAGTGCTTGGTGGGGGCAGGCGAGGAGCCGTGACCTTGGGGTCCTGGGGCAGTTACAGGAAGCAGCCCTGCTCTTAGGTGGGCTGGTTCTCTCTTAATCCTGCCCTTCTCAGGTGGAAAGTATCTGTGGGGACAGTAGGTGGCCAGGGCAGCGGTGGCTGCTGGGGGTGCGCAGAGCATGACCCTCACTGTGGCGCTTCTGTCCCGTGTGCCTCCCCACCAGCTGAGTTCTCAACATACCTCAACTTCTGCCGCTCCCTGCGGTTCGATGACAAGCCCGACTACTCCTACCTGCGCCAGCTCTTCCGCAACCTCTTCCACCGGCAGGGCTTCTCCTATGACTACGTCTTCGACTGGAACATGCTCAAATTCGTGAGTCACCTGAAGGCCGAGGCGGGCTTGGGGGACTGGAAGGGGCAGGCCCTGACTCATAGGGCCAGAGTGACCCAGTGGCGGGCGGGGCTCCCAGCCAATGGGGCATACGAGCTGGACAGCTCGGGTGACCTCACTGGGGTCCCCGGGCGCCCCCTCTCCCGCCACATCAGAGTGGCCAGCGAGACATGGGTAGCACTGGCAGGTCTGCCCACTGCCCTGCTGGCCGCCTGCACCATCTTCCTGCTCCTGTTGTCCTTCACGTCCCAGGTGGCCGCCTTCTCCTCTGAGTCTTCTGGGGCCAGCCTGGACCCATGGAGAGTGATTTCTTTCCTCCTGGTCCTAGGACCCTGGGTCTTGCTAGGCGGTCGTTCTGTCTCCCTCTTTTAAGGATGCTGGGGGTGGGGTGGGGAGAAGCATTCGCCAGTCATGCCTGGAGCTCTGGAGTCCGTGAAATCCTATGTCTTCTCTCACATCTCTTCTGGAAAAGGGGGCTTCCTCGAGCCAGGCTCAGCCCCGAGACAGCGAAGCTCTGGCACCACCATGCCCCCGTCCCTGGCCCTGTGCCGGGCCCTCATGCTCACCCACATACTGGTAAGGACCCTCTGAGCCCTGGCCCTTTCGAGATTCTCCACTCGACCAGCAAGTGCAAAGGCTGAACCTCAGCTGTGCTCTCTGTCACTTCCAGGTGCCCGGCACCCCTGGGCACCCAAGGCCCCCCAGATAGGCCCTTGGAGGAGGTGGAGGAGCTACCACCGCAAAACTACTGGCCTGTGGTCTGGACTCCAGGGCCCCAGTTCTGACATCGTCTGATGTGCCCGAGCTCATCAGGGCCAAGCCTGACTGGGCATCGTTTGTTGGGACGGTGGGAGTGACAAGCTATTCAAGAGAGGTGGCCGTGCACTGGAGAGGGTGTGACAGAAGAAGCCCTGCGTGGGATTCTTAGGAATGAACCAGCTGCCCAAGGGCCTGGACAGGCATGAAGAAGGGATGATGGCCCCTGTCTGGGAGGGGCCTGGTGGGCGTGGACTGCAGGACCATCAGCAGCCTCTGTATTGAGCCGATCTCATTAAATGTTCCCGTGTCCCATCCTGCTGTGCCTCCTTTCACAGCGTGGTGCCGAGGACCGAGTCCTTGTCCTCGGGCTATGCCAAGCGCACTGGTCTTGAGCTCCTCTTCTCTCCGGGTCCTGGACAGTGGCCAGTTCTCCAAGGTGGCAGGCAGAGGTCAAGCAAAGAATGGGGTCTCACACACCAGGGGCCTTGGGAGAGGCCTCTGTTTTCCTTTCTCTCCAAACATGGGGTGGGAGATGAGCAGCGGGCGTCTTCCAGCTTCAAGTGTGATCAAGGGCCTGGGAGTCCAAGTCCAGTCTGGGCAGCTTCCGCACGTCAGCCCACCTCAGCTGCAGAGGGGTTTGTGTTCTCTTAGACTTGTGCCATCCGCTGTGATAGCCACTGGCTATGTGGTGCCCGCTTAAATTAATAAAATTTAATCAAAATGGAAAATGTAGTTCCTCGGTAACTATCGCCTCGTTTCAAGTTCACAGTGGCTAGGCTGGCAGATGGGCACGTTTCTGTCATCCCAGAGCCTCCTTTACAGCCAACAAGATCTGAAGACAGGCCAGGCTCACCCTCCCCACTGTGGCCGGGGCTCGGACCCGCTTCCTAGGGTCTTGTTAGAGCAAGCTCTGGAGTGTGAAGCTGGACAGAGGCCCGTTACTACCACCAAGGTGAGCCGGAACACGCCATGGGGACTTCCTGCAGCCCGCCTACAGACAGGACTTCATGCTGGGCCCTGTAGGCTTGGACTCTCCGATGGGAAGGATCTTGCCTTTGACCTTGAAGTAGTCTCCCATGTTCAACATCAGCGCCAGGGCCCTGGGATCCCCGGATACCTGATACTGGGATGCCACTCCGGGTACGCAGTGCCCTGTGTTCTGAAGTCTGACCATCGGTCCAGGAGGAAATTGCGTACAACCAAGGATGGAGTCCACACAACAGGGCTGGGTGCTTGGGTGACTTTGATGTTGATTTTTTGTGTTTTCTTGTGGGCAAATAAAGACCAAAAAGCCTCTCTCTAGTGTGCCTTTGTCGAGGCATTGCTTGGGTGGATGAAAACACAGAGGGCTGTGCTGTTTCTCCTGGCCTTGGGCATCAGCCCAAGCCTGCTGGTGTAGCCAGGGGCCAGTCTCCAGCCTCCCATGCTGCTACTGACTTCTTGTCACTGCGCTTCTGAGGATCACAGAGCCTCACCAAGCTTTAGTTTTTCCAACCAGGGGATGGCATCGGCCCTGTCCTACATGGTGGGTATTGTCACTTTGTCTCTCTAGTTGGACTATGGCTCTGGCTGAGTCTCTGTAGCCAGCAACTAAGTAGTGAGCCCAGGGTGATGGCTGGAGGCTGCAGGCTCCACGCCTGCCTCAGGAGGCCTCAGGAAGGGGATCACAAGGTCAGCAGTGCCAGAAGAGTGCCCGGGGGAATGTGACCGACCTGGGTTGGTCCTCACGAGGAGGAGTCAGGGATCATTGTGATACTAGCTGCTTCTCCTAGGAGTTCAGGCCCACCCCGTTTAGGGATCACAATCAGCAGTGCCAGAAGAGTGCCCGGGGGAATGTGACCGACCTGGGTTGGTCCTCACGAGGAGGAGTCAGGGATCATTGTGATACTAGCTGCTTCTCCTAGGAGTTCAGGCCCACCCCGTTTCCCTAGGCAACAGAGCCTTCTCACCCAGGTCCCTGAAAGATGGGTGGCAGGTAGGTGCCCACGCCCCATGCCCATGAGTGGGCCCTCGACTCAGCCCATAGCTCTCTCCTCCACAGATGCGGCTCCCCTCACGTCAGCCCCCTGCCCTTCCCTGTGGACGGCCCCAGGACCAACTAGGTAACCAGCAGGCGCTGCTCCCAGCCATGTACCTCTCTGGGCTTCTCACTTCCTCTTGTAGGGGGACAGCAGCAGCTAGAGGGCAGGGCCTGGGGCACAGGACCCTGGTCTCCATCTTCACCTGCTGGGTCTCTTTTCTCCATGGAGCATCCAGCCAAGCTCTTCCCCTGGCCCCCAGAGCTACTGTCTAAAGATAGACAGCATCTGTGTGGGTCCCCTGGGCCTCCTGGCTGTGGCCCCACAGCACCTGCCAGGAGTTACAGACAGGTCTGGGGTGGCCCACTGGTGAAAAGAGCCCTTGGCTGAACATCCAGGGACCTGGCCAGGCCCTGGCCCTGCCTTCACCTAGTGTTGTTGCCTGGGGCTTGTCCTTTCCTTTCTGGGCATCCCTTGCCTGTGGTGCTACGTGGGCATCTGACGGCCTTCCCTGCTTAGTTTGGGAGCCTCAAGGGGCTGAGAGCTCTTGGTACACAGAGGGGGCTGGGTTGGGAGGGCCAAGGTTCCTTTGGTCATCGTAGGGGCCTTATCACCCCTCTCCAGCTCCACAGGGAGCCTGAACTCCCGCTACTCCTCAGACACTGCCTTCTCTCCCTCTGGGTGTTGTGTGGTTTCATCTGTTCCCACTGTGTGATCAAGTGTTACTTCTGGCCCTCTTGGGTCATGGGTTCCTGCTCTGTCCTGTAAGGGGGCCAAGGGGCAGCACGCTGTGGCCTCTGAGCTGACCAGTGCCACCTCTTCTGTCCCTGTAGGGTGCAGCCCGGAACCCCGAGGACGTGGACCGGGAGCGGCGGGAACACGAGCGAGAGGAGAGGATGGGGCAGCTGCGAGGATCCGCCACTCGAGCCCTGCCCCCGGGACCTCCCACGGGGGCCACCGCCAACCGGCTCCGCAGTGCGGCCGAGCCTGTGGCTTCCACCCCAGCCTCCCGCATCCAGCAAGCTGGTCAGTAGCAGCCTGGGGCTCTGGGCTGTGCCCGAGGGGGTCGAGGCCCCCTGGTGCCCATCTGAGGGTGCTCCCACCTTGCCCTCCCTACAGGCAATACTTCTCCCAGAGCGATCTCTCGGGTCGACCGGGAGAGGAAGGTGAGCATGAGGCTGCACAGGGGCGCGCCCGCCAACGTCTCTTCCTCGGACCTCACTGGGCGGCAAGAGGTCTCCCGAATCTCAGCCTCACAGGTACGGAGCACAATACATGAAGCCCCCAGCGCAGGACCCAGCCTCATTTAATCTCCTGGGATCTCCTGAGCCCATTTCACTAAGCACAAGCAAAAACTGAGGCTCAGAGATGAAATTTGCCCTGGCAGGCAGTAGAGCTGGGGTCCAGCCCCTACTGCAAGGAATCCCCCCCATTGTCCCCAGTTCCTATCATCAAGCACAGGATTGGACAGCTAGGTTGTCTGATCTGGTGGCCCTGCCTATGGGGAGAGCCCATTTGGAGCAGGGGATCAGGAAGAGGGACCTGTGATTGCCAGAGTCCTGCCCCCATCCTGCCTCTGAGGACCTGGCCAAGGGAGCTGCCCTTGGCACCATCTCGGGTGCACCTGCTGTGCCTCGATTCTCTGGACGACTCTGTCTCCAGAGCAGGGACATCCTAGGGTCTCTGGGATCCCATGCCCCTTCCTTTGTCTGGAGGGACTTGTTGGGGTGGGAGAGCCCTACGGCAACCCATGTTTACCGGCAGTGTAGGGACTTGCCTTGAGGCTTACTGTACCCCATCTCTCTGCCTGCTCTCCAAAGACAAGCGTGCCATTTGACCACCTCGGGAAGTGAGGAGCGCCACCGACGGACCAGTATTTGCTTAGGTGAGTGCCGGACACAGCCATGACCCCAGAGGAGACCAGTGTGTGGTGGAGGAGGTCGAGGAAGTGGCAGGTGGTACCATGTGTCCCCAAATCTGAGGTTCCCCCGGAGCATAAAACTTTACAGCCTACGCAGCTGGGCTCCATCCTGGCCCCACGGGGTTTAATTTCTTCTGGAAGAACCTGTTCCTGTCCTTGGGCCGGTCCCATGTGCCCCTTTTCTTAACGTTCTGGGAAGTTAGTTCCTAGCAGGGACTTGCGCCCTGCTGCAGCCCCTGGAAAGTGCATTAGTTCATACAGAGCCTTGGGAAGAGAGCCACACACTTAGAGGAAGGGGCAGGACGGTCCCCCCAAGCCCAGGAGAGGCCTTCAGTCAACATGTGTAGCAGCACCATCTGGGCCTGGCATGGGGAATGGCAGTGGATGGCGTCTCTGGGTGCAGGTGAGCTCCAGGGACCACGTGTATCAGCAGGCAGTAGTTTACCCTTCAAAGGAGTCGGCCTCACCTCAGGACACTGGCAGCGCGATGCTTTGCAGAAATTCATCTGCAGAGGGAGCTGAGTTGCTGAGCAGGGCGTAGCTGCTTCAGGCCTCAGGCCCAGCAACCAGAGTGGTGCAGGGCAGGCAGCTGTGTGACCTCAATGGCCATTCCCCAGGATGGAGGTAGATGTGCGGGAAAGTGGAGCACCTCCTGGGCCCTCAGCCAGCTGCAGCCCTGAGGCTTCAGGGATGGGAAGGTAGGAGCTGGAGTAGGCTCTGCAGATGTGTGGACACAGGCAGCTGAGCATCTAATCTGACTTCTTTCTTTCCCTTCTAGTGTCTTCACTGTATTTTCTTTTAAAAAAACAAACAAAATGATAGAAAAAAAAAACACACACACTCAAATGAACAAAGAAAAACCCAGCACAAAACCAACGGTGGATTTTATTTCTTTGATTTATTTTGCCAGTGGCAAAAAGATGGGGTGCCCTTAGCACTGAGGATTCTGGTCCCCTTTGGCGTGCCTACTGCCCCCAACCTCAGGCTGCCAAAAGCTCCCCCCAACAACATCAGGTCACAGGAGCCAGGTGGCACGGCCCCACCTGCAGAAGGGACCCTTGGCATTGGAGATGCAGCCATCAGAGGCGGTCCGAGGAGCTCGTGTTTGGGAGTGGCTTGGTCACAAGAAGGCAGGTCTCATGTGCCTTGGGTTTCATACATCTCGGAATCAACCAGACAGATGTGCACAGCCCCAGCCTCTGAGATGCCAGCAGTCAACTTTCTGTATTGTGCTTTCCCAGTGTCCCCCGGAGCATCCGGGTCCCTCGTCCACCTCTCTGTGAAGACCCCAAGTGGGTGGAGAGGCAAGGGCCACCACGCCTCGTGTGCATGTGTGACCTGTGCTACCAGAACAGTGGGTGCCACCTCGCCTGCCAGGCCAAGCTTCTGTTCTCCCCCTAACAAGGATGGGGGACAGCATCCTCTACATCCCTCAGGGCACAGAGGGTCCTGCCACCACACTACCCGATGCCAGCCAGTGGCGGCCCCATCTTGCACTCCTGGTCCTAGGCAGCGTCCATGGAGGCTGCTCCCAGACAGCATCGGGCTGCGTGTCATCAGTTCCAATCTCGACCGTCACCCGAGGTCCCCCCTTCCCGGGTCCTGCCTTCCCAGGAGGAGCCTGGGGTCAGGGCCAAGTGTTGGATTTCTTCATCCTTCCTGGTTCATGTCTGCTTTTATTTTATTATTTTATTTTTGTTTTCTCCATGTGTGTATTTCCTAATTTATTTACCTTTGTTTCCCCTTCTTTTTTTTTTTTTTTAATTAAAGAGCAAAGCTTTTTATTACTTTGTAATTTAAAAAATGAAAAAAAAAATACTGAAGAACTTTGGGGGGAATTTTGTACTTTTTTCCTGTGTAAATATTGGACTTTTTTGAGCTTTATTGTGGTTGTTAATTTGAAGTAATAAAGTAGAAAAGGATAAAGTGACACAGGAGCCCTTTGTCACCTCTCTGGAGTTTGTCCCCAGCAGACAAGAAGCAGGCTTTGCCTGAGTAGCACAGGTCACTGAGAGCAAGACCTTGTCCCTGGAGGTGGAGGTGGCTGGCATCATCGTCACCACGTTTCTTGGGGAGTGGCCCGTGTGTCCAGGGGGGCTTTGAGAACTTGTGTGTAGACAGGAGGCACCTGGGGAGTCTTGTTAGAGTGCACCCTCTGGTTTAAGAACCCTGGGGTGGGGTCGAGGGTGTGCACCTCAGCCCATAGATTCCTAGACTCACCAAGTTGACATTCACAGAGTTCCAAGTTGAGCTGGGCGTGGTGGCGCATGCCTGTAATCCCAGCACTCCGGAGGCTGAGGCGGGAGGATGGATGTGAGTTCAAGACCAGCCTGGGCTATGAAGTGAGTTCCAGGTAGGTCCCAGACCCTGTCTCAAAAAAAAAAAAAGAAAAAAAAAGTTCTGAGTCATGGCCAGGCCTGATGCCGTGTGTTCCCCAGCCCCCAGCACTCAGGACGCTGAGGCAGGAAAATCACCATGAGTTTGAGGGCAGCCTGGGCTACATAGTTCAAGGCCAGCCTGGGCTACAGAGTGAGATCCTGTCTCAAAACAAAAAATAAAAACAAAAAACCTGAGTCTTCCAAAGAGAAACAGTCCAGGGTTCGATTGACTTCTAGGGCAGATGCTCTGGGGGCAGAGCCCGGGAGCAGAGAGGGGCTCTGGGATGGTCCCTTGGGCACTGTGCAGTGTTGAGCATGGCCCAAAGCCCTTTCCAGTGCTGGCATTTGAAAACCCAGTGAGGCTGAAGCCTGGCTAATGTGCCAGGAAGAGAGGCTCCTGCTGGTGCCCCCACGTGAGGTTTAGACAAAGGGGGGAATCTCTGTCACAGATGCCAGGGGTCCA